GGGGGGGGGGATTGGGCCGTTTTGCTTTCTGTCTGTCTGTCTATCTTTCCTAGCGATTCATTCCTGTCTGCCTGCCTGTACGTGGCTGCTATTATTGCTGTCTGAGGGAGCGAGCGATCGATCTGCCGAGGGGCGGCTTAAGGGAGCTATGACGTTACCTGTGTTCATCGTTCGATGATTGTTTTGCCTCTCTCGTTTTATTGCGATGAAGAGAACAGCCCGGCGGACCGGGCCGGACCCACTTTGAGCGGTCCACACGCCGACCGACAGGCCAGTCGGCTGCATACCTACACACGTGCATGAGAATGAGATGCATGGATGGACCCATACACACACGCCATTCACACACGACCCTTGTTACCTCCCTCCCTCCGTCCCTCCGTCCCTCCCTCCCCGTTCCATCGAGAGAGTAGTGGTGTACCGTAGTTGGTGCGAGAGATTGAGCGGTTGCGAGGGACAGGGAGAGAGAGAGCTGCCTGTGGGTGTGCATACATACGGATGTGCATGCTTGTGTGCATATCATTAGGGAGAGCTCCTTTCTTTCCCTTTGCTTTTGCACACCACAATGATACCACACCACACCGATCCGCCCCGCCTCTGTCGTCTGGCCACCTTTCATTTCGTCCGTTGGTTCGTTCGCTACCTGCATGTGCATGTGCGTGTGCGTGTCGCGTATGTGAGTGTTCTAATGCTCCTCCAATACAAGATGTTGCTGTTGTGAGGTTCCCTCCAATTTCCTTTTGACGGACTGGTCCGGCGTGGTGTGGTGTGGTGTGGTGTGGTGTGCTTCGGTCGGTTGGCTTGGGTTGGGCAGATAGAGATTTAAGCGAGAAGCGGGCGACCCAGAGAGGGCGGGTGAGCGAGGGGACGGGTGAGCGAATGAGAATTGCGCCATACGTACATGCCTCCACCCCCGGCTGCATGCCATGCCGGTCTTCTTCCTCGCCGATCCGATCATCCTGTTTTGTGATCGGAGGAGCGGTGCATGCCATGCGTTGATGCCTACGTGGAGTGGATGAATCGATGAAGCGCGCTGACACACAGAGAGGGATGGGGAGGGATGGGATGGAGAGGCTCTGCATGTGCATGTGGTCTGGTGTTGTGTTGTGCTATGTGGGAAGAACGAACCAACGACGATGATGAAGGCTGTTGAGCGCAGAACAGCCCTCCCGCGCGCGTAAGAGAGCGAGAGCGAGAGATATAGAGAGATTTCCTGTTTTCTTGCATGTCGCTCTTCTCTTCTCGTCTCTTTTGTTGCGATCGATGAGTGCCATACGTACGCGTGCGTCCGTAGGGACCCACATGCCAGGCATCTCTCCAGCCCAGCCCACCTACTGGCAGTCAATGTAATGCAGGCACTGGCCTGCCTCTTATCATCCATATGCATATGTGCGTGTGTGCATGCTGGGAGGGATCCCGGGCACTTTCTCAATCCATGCTCCTCCCTATGTGGTTTAGTGGCCGACTCGCACACACACTCACACACCGACTCGCACTCACACACGCGACACAGGACATGCATGACACACACAGAGGGCTGGCTGGCCTGTCTGCCCGGTGCGTGCGGTGCGGTGCGGTGCGTTCTATCTATCTGTGTGTGGAATGAACCGGGTGATATGACTGACGGGCTGGGCGTACGTCCTTTCCTGCCCGCGTACGTAAGTATTTGTTTGCGACACACAACACAAGGGGAGCCCTCCCCTGCCCCTGCTGCCTGCCGGCTTTCTTTCTTTCTCATATATACGGAGAAGACAAGTGCATACCCGCGTACGTACCAGAATGTGTCGGCCGGCCGGTCGGTCGGTCGGTCGGTTGCTCACAGTACAATGACCCATGTCATGTGGCCCAATGACCTTGCTCAGTGGGTGGGCGGGGGGAGAGTGGGGGGAGGGAAGCTCCTTTGTTGGTTTGTTCTTGTTTGTGTGCATGCCATGTGCTCAGTCAGCTGTTGTTGGTTGGGGTTGCGGTGCGTGTGTCAGTTATTTGTTGCTCGATCGCTGAACAACACATACATACACGAATGTGTGTACCTATCTAGCTATCTATCGACTGACTGGTCGGGGCGGGGCAAGTGTGCATATATAGCTGACTGACTGAGATGCGGACTTGCCTGCCGGTCTGACTCTCTACCTGCATGTCTTCTCACTCTCTCTCCTTCACTCACCCTCACTTGCCTGCCTGGTGTGTTACGCCTGTCTGTCTGTCTGTCTTTCTGTCTGTGCGTCTGTGTATCTCCCTCCTCCCCCCCAGAGTGCCGACTTCCTTGAGCTGACAGAACGGTGACAGACAGCAACAGACAGACGGCCGTCTCACCTCTCCCCTTCACTATTTTCTCCTGCCTGCCTGCCTGCCTGAGTACATGCGACTTTTTTCTCCTGTCTGTCTGTCTGTCTGTCTTTCTGGGTGTCTGTCTTGGTGTGATCGGCTGGCTGGCTGGCCGACACAGCCGCAGATCCATCGGCGGCTGTGTTGTCTGTATATCAGTGAACGTCACCGATGGATGGATGGATGGCGAGAGGGGTCTGTCTGTCTGTCTATTTGCTTGTCTGTCTGTCTGCCTGTCTTGTGAAGCATACACACAGATCTGCCAGCTCGCTCGTGCGCTGTCTGCTCATGTAGTGGTCGGCCAGGTTGCCTGTTTGCCTCTTACAGAGGGCATTCCAGCCGCCTGGCCGGCATCGGCATGAAGCGGACAGCACACGAGCAGCAAAGGCACCGGAGAGAGAGCGAGAGAGCTCGAGCACACCGATATCAGGCGGCCAGTGAGATGGAATCAAATTGCGTTGACTGACTGACTGACTGGACGTGGTGGGGAGGGCGGGGGAGGGGAGTCGGGTAGGTCATTTACTTTGCTTGCAGAGAGAGAGAGAGAAGAGGGCCTTACTTTGTGTTGTGATTGTTGTCTAGAGGTACCACGGTGGCGTGGCCATGTGTGCGAGGCAGTGCACAGCTGCAGTGGCGCTTTGCCGGCCGAGGCCCCATATATCACGAATTACGTTTGCACCACTTGCCTCTTCGATGATGCTATGCACCCATCTATCTCGGCTTGACTCGACTCGACTCGGCTTGCTTTCATTGTATTGTGTTGCTGTGTTTGTTGCATCCCCTCCCCAATCCGATTCCATTCCATTCACTCAGTCAGCCAATCCATTTGCCTTGGCCATTTTTCAACACTATCCACCGTGTTTGTGTTGCAATCATCCACACACACACAGAGCCACACACGCATGGAGAGCCCAGATAGGGCAGGCCCGACACACACTTTTTTTGGTGAATTCGTTCCTTATTGCCTCCCTCCCTCGCTGCGCTGAGCCATCTGCGTCTCTCTCACCCACACACGAAGACACCCAGCCATTTCTATTTTTCCCCCTCCCTGTTTGCACAACGCACAGGTTGTTTCAAGCACGCCAGCCACCGATGCGATGCGATGCGATGCGTGTGTGTGTTCCATTCACTCACTCGTTCACTCACCGATTGATTGCATCCGCATGCCCATTTTTCTCTCTCGCCCTTGTTGTTCGTTTGCGTGCCGTTTGTTTGACGCAGCCATCCATCCTCTCTCTCTCTCTCTGTGTGTGTGTGTGTGTGTGTATGTGTTGTGTGCGTGACGAAGTGCAGTGAGCCACCTGGTCTGAGACGTCCACATATTCATCTGGGCTGCCTGCCATCCATCCATCCACACACACACACACATACGCATCAACCATCACACACAAACGACGTTTGTGTACTTCCATCATGCATTCCGTCATCTTACCTACCTACCTCAATAATTATATTTCGTTTCCTTCCTATGAAGGCCTCTCTCTATGCGAGCCCCTTTCTGCGTTTGCACGTGAGTGACTCTTCCC